TAATTGGAATAAGCGGAGGTCAAACAAACGACTTACTGAACTGGACTGCAGGTATTCACGGAATGTACAGTTTTATCCTTGATATAATTTGTTTTGATATTGGTAAAACATTAAAATCTGTGTTATTGGAAATTTAAAAATAGCAATAGAAGATTTTTTTTATGAGTAAGTATATATGAAGTAGAAACTTTTGAAATGGTAAAAAGAAAAAAACATGAATGCAAACACGCATAATCAACTACCTTTTTTTTAATTCTCGTTTGAATGATATTTCAGACCCAAACATTTTTTTTGTTGAGACTGAATCACGAAAAGCAACAAGTCATACTATTTGCACGAAACGCAATAGACAGACCCGTTTTTTTGTATTATGTCCTTGTTAGTCACCGTCATGCATTGGCCGCTTACAGCAGTGGATGGAGCATTAAGGCGATATGATATTATAAACAGCGGAAGATTTTATTGTAGACATGAGACTTCGTCGATCCTTATTGTATACCACAAACATAGAACGCAAATGTATCGATATAAAAAAAAAATACATATTATTATTATGTATACACAAATAGGCACAGTCGAAACAGTTAACGATCGTTTTCTCCTATGTAACCGATTTCCATATTTCTATTCTATTTACGAGGTTTAGTATTATGAATTTTATTACAAAACTAGCCGTAACCGCCGGCTTCGCTGGGCATTTAAAATTTGCCTTATTATTTATTGTCATTACTATTAGGGGGTCCAACACTCATATAAATATTAGCCTATCCATTAAGTACATGTAAGTATTTTCTACATATGTACTAAGTTTCAAGTCAATCGGGTGCATGGTTCAGTGGTTATAACGGAACATCCGTAAAAACCACTGTAGATTATATATTAGTATAGACAGTATTTTTTTCCTTAATCTAATAAGGAGTGAGAATATGTAATATGGTATACAATGAATTTAAATCTTAAGATGGTCATGACTGTAATCAAACATAATTGGTTTTAATTCCGATTATTGGACTACCTTAGTAAAATATGTAGCGACTGAAGTAAGTTATATTAGTAGATATAACTGAAAACCGGTTTTTAATTTTTTTATTACTTAGATGGGTGGACGAGCTCAGCCTATCTGGTGTTAAGTGGTTACTGGAGCCTATAGACATCTATAACGTAAATGCGCCACCCACCTTGAGATATAAGTTCTAAGGTCTCAAGTATAGTTACAACGGCTGCCCCACCGTTCAAACCGAAACGCATTACTGCTTCACGGCAGAAATAGGCAGGGTGGTGGTACCTACCCGCGCGGGCTCACAAGAGGTCTTATTATCACTAACTTTAATAATGAATGCATTTTAAATGATCTATGCTGACAAAAACGGTATTCTTAGTTCTCGGTGTCAATTATAGCGATACAATGCCAAAAGCGACATACAAAACAATAAAATCTTACAGTTTAATTTTTTCAAGCAATAAACTTCAGTGTTACTCAAACATTTCAATTAAAGAAATTGCATAATCAAATATTTTAAATTATTTTCGTTTCTTCTGCGTGTAGTTTAAAGTAATTTGACAATAACGTGCACTAAGATCGCAGCGAAGAAAGCATTTGGTGTATGCACTTTCTCCAATATAATAAGCACGCCAATAGATTGCATCGCATACATCGCATATTTAGAAAATGCGCGCGCCCGGACGCCTCTCTCGAATTGTCAACTCGGTACAAAACGTCCAATTAGATGTGATATGTCAAGCAGATGGACGACAGACACATGTGTTCTTTGAGTTTCATTTCCACGATTAACAGTATTCGAATATCTATACATACATATAAATAAAATTGGAGTGTCTGTTTGTAGTATTGAAATAACCGCTTTTTACTACATTCATACGAATATATATACGGTACATACACCAAAATAATATTTTTTACAATTTTTGTCAGTCTGTCTGTCTGTTTGTTTGTTCCGGCTAATCTCTGGAACGGCTGGACCGATTTTGATGAGACTTTCACTAATAGGTAGCTGATGATCTAAGGAGTAACTTTTTTAGACTAGCTTCGCCCCGCGGCGTTACCCGCAGTTATTGTCGTACCGCTCGCAATATGGCGGGCTTCGCCTATCAATATAACATTTAATGTTTCCGAAGCGAATCCAGGGCGGGTCGCTAGTTTTCTATAAAATACGGGCGCGATAAATTATCTAAACGGTACGAACGAGCCGAAACAGGTGTATATCGTTAGATAATTTTCATAAACTTGACATAGAAAGTATTTTTGCATTGTATTTATAAATCACAAAAAGATATTCTCGTGATACGAATAAGTTTGGAAAGTATCCACACTTTGATGCTATTCATCCAACGAGCCATAAACGTTGGTATTTCCGTGAATGAACAGGATCAACTGTAAGTTCAGACAATGGGCCATTGAAAAACTCGTGGAATCTTAACAAGCAATAAAATAAAAGGTGCTGACATAAGAGCTATTTTAAGTCACAAAACACCAGTTTAAAATGTTGGAAAACATCTTTCAACACTTTTCACTATAAGTCACAGCATATTAGTCATTTTAAATAACATACTTTTTTTATAATTTTGACTCAGATTCTTGAAATTTCGATTTAGTCTAATTCTGTTATGTTGTTTAATACAAAATATTGGCAGTATAATATCTAAAATGAATTGTTTATATTCTAAGCACGTATATGTTCGACGATGTTTGATCAGGAGCGCGTGGAAGGTTCAGATTTCGCGACCTTCGATTCCATACTAGATTACCAACGTCGCCTCTGACGCTGCAGCGCCGGCGTTTGTATCTTTTTCTGCGGCTACACTAAGTTAAGGAAATAATTAATTTTAAAATAAATTCCATTTAAATCAACGTAGTTTTATATAATTACTACTTTATTTCGCGGGTGAGATTTTATTGTGTTAATTAAATTCAAAATTCTTAAAATGTCGGCATTTACGTTGTTCATGCCTATGGGTTTCCGTAGCCTCTTACTCCGGTAACACAAAGTGAGCTGTGAGCGAGTACACCGGTGTAACGAATAAAAAAAAGTATGTAGTATGTTGTCGAACACATTAAAAAAGTGAAATCGAGCGTCATTGTCAAATAAAAAAGGTGTACACGATCGAGTTAGGCAGACGAAAAGGAGCGCACGGTCGACGCCTTTAATCCGTTACCGTAGAGATGTGAGGCGCGTGAGTCACCAACATACCGGCCAGCACCATGCACTCAGCATACGTACGTGTCAACCGCCTATTTATGTCGCAGGACGAAGCACAAATAAACAGCATCAAAGGGACGTCGGATTCCGGCCGGCGGCGAAGCAGCGACCAACGAAAGCAAATCAAACAAACACCATTGTCTCTACTCGGAGTTATATTCGCAAATAGATTCCAGATTCGCTTAACAAAACCTATCCTTTCAAGTTACAAGGAATTTCACAGAAATTCTTCGAGTTTGATTTAGCGATCATGATACTGTCTTGGAAGACAATAAAAACTCATTTCAAGAACTCCATGCTTAGGGAATATTGAAACTAGTTGCACATACTACATTTTTGTGCACAAAAAAAAATCAGTTATTTAATTTGTTAACTTTTTTTAAAATGTTGTCAAATAAATAAATAAACACATAATTATAGTTGCTACCCCTTGAGGGCCTAAACGTTGAGCCATTACAGTAATTAAGTTTAACATTAGAATTTGTGGGGTTATTTTAGTTTATAGTAATTACTGTAGATTTTCTTAGAAAGTTCAAGGTCCAGTGATTACCATACCCCATAAATATTAATATGTGAATGCAGCCAAATACCTTAAGAAACATGGTCTAAGAATCAGTTTTGTTTAGGTTTTAATTTAATTATTTTTAGATATAAAGGAATGTGCTCCGAGTTATTGTTTAAGGTGATCCCTTCATCGCACAATCTGCCACCAGAGCAGAGTCTATACTACTACAATATTCCTCTATAGTATAGTATGTTCCATTATATTTTTAAGCCACACATCCAATTCTGGAATGAGAACTCCTCTTTATGGTATTTCTTGAGTGTCCGATTGTGTCTTTGATACAAACATTTGTTTTGAAAATTTAGGTCATAGTCTGTGTGTCACATCTTCATATCTGTAATCAGTATTGCAGGGATCCTATTTCATTAGTTTGGAACACTTTAAAACTCAAGCCAAAAGTTAGCCAGGTTTGGTCCGAGTTGGTTATCGATACCATAACAAAATATGATAGCTTTATTCAACTTTTTCTCTACAGAAAATACTTGATTATCTTATAGTAGTGTCTTTTGGTAAAATTAATAACAAAACTTGATAAGGCTATTTTTAAAGTAGGATATTCTCCAGCATAGTGGGGTCTGGAAAAATTAAAAAGCGATAGGAACAAGAATACATAGAGACCATTAATAACAATATCTATTAAACTTACTCCAATAAAGTTATGAGTCTAGTTCTTGTAATACAGGAAGGTCACCGACCACAGAGAGCCTTCAATAAATTATTCAAGATTTCTTTAGCCACCTACCCCCTACCAAAGGAAAATCTTTAAGCTAAGAGATGGATGTGATTCTTTTTTTCTTGCACTTAAAATAATGGTTTGTATAGTGGTATTTACATTTGGTCTTCATCTTAAACATTTTCAACTTGAATGACCTTATTAATATTGAATCTGAACAGGTAACTTGTATCTCTACAAGCCCATATTATGCATTTTCAAAACTACCCAAGTAGTTCAAATTAATTTTTAGATATACCCGTTTATTTTTCAGAATATTTTACTATATTCTAATAAATTTAAACACACCTCAGAAACTACAAAAAAAACTAAAGACAACACAATTTTATTTTTTCCATAGAATCATTTACGCTGAGGGCCTGTGATTTCTTTAAATACCATAAAATTAATAATAATTCTATTTGGAATTGAGTTTGAAAATAAAAATTCGCATTATTGTTTATATATGAATAGTTTCTATAAACAATCTTTTAAATTCACATACCTTTCATCCTCTGGAGGTGGTGCATTCTGGGTTTCCTCTTTACCATCGCCTATATCTCCAGGTTGCATCGCCTCAGCAGAAACATCAGGAGCACCACTTTCACATGCATTCACATTCACATTGCTTACCACTGCACCACTGATCGCATGAGACACTACCGCACTCACAGGGCTGCCAAAGCCTTGACTGTCATGTCCTGGTTGTGTGTTCGTCACATATGCAGTCGAGTTTACTGGTAATGACACTACCGGTGAGTTGGTTCCTGATACAGTTGCCTCTACAGGAGCTACATTGCTTTGAGACATGACTGGCACAACACCTCCGTAACCCAGACCCATGCTTGTCTGCGATGGCACCACATTTGGATGCACTCCGCTGCCCATTCCCACAGGCATGGTAGGCTGCATTGACATTGACATGTTCTGATGTGCCATTGTCACTGACTGATTCGGTACATACTGAACTGCCCCCATCTGACCTTGACCACCTACTTGTTGTGGTAACATATTCTGTTGGGCCATATGTTGTCCAACAGGTAATTGCTGTCCGACATTCGTAGTTTGCATGAATATAGGATCTGTGGCGGGTATCTGCATACTGGGCTGATTCCCGTCCAGAGTCATCTGCATATTCTGGGGTGGGGCAGACATCATCTGCAAGTTTCCTTGAGGAACATTTCCTTGTTGCGGGGCCATTGGGTGAACATTAGTGGTGGGTTGTTGTCCAGCAAGGCTTTGGAGATTCGCAGGCAAAGTTGTACCTTGGGGTTGAGAAGCCATAGGCTGGAGGTTTGTAGGAAGTGTTGCACCTTGCTGAGAAGTAACAATAGTTGAGAGCACCTCTTGTGGTAAAGTCTGGCCTTGTTGGCTCATTTGCGATTGTTGAGTATGATACTGAGGTACACTGTGTTGTACCATTTGTGGCTGAGATGAAGGCATATTAGGATTGATCATAGACTGTGCAGTGGATTGTTGATTTACAGCTTGGTTATATTGCTGCTGGACAGTTGGCATGCCTTGTTGACTCATCTGAGGATGCATTCCAGGAACAACAGTTTGCTGCTGTTGCGAAGACAGTTGATGCATCTGTGTTTGCATTTGTGGTATTTGCTGGTTAGTATTAGTTAATTGAGTTGGCATTTGCATCTGCTGTATGTGGTTTGGTATTTGTTGACTTTGTAAAGCTTGGATTTGTGCCTGACTTGGCAAATGCTGCAACTGTGCTTGCTGAGTGCCCATAGACTGTTGGCTTTGCAAATGGTGACTCTGACCCATGTTGGTAATTTGGGTTTGTTGCATATGTAATTGTGGATTTGGTTGGCCTTGCATTTGTTGCATTTGCATTTGCTGCATCTGAGGTTGCTGAGTAGGAACTTGTGGCATTTGTCCTTGGTTCGTCATAGCCTGCATTTGTGGCATTTGTTGTTGCATCTGCATGTTAGGAATCTGTGCTTGTGGGATATGCTGACCCATTTGCTGCATTTGTTGATTTGGCATTTGCTGCATCTGTTGTGGCATTTGTTGATGCATAGGTATTTGTTGCATAGTTATGCCCTGTGTCTGAGCAATGACTTGCTGCAACTGATGTGGTGGGAAATTTTGTGTGATTTGTTGGACTTGCTGTTGTTGGTTTTGCTGTGGATGCCCCTGCGCTGCATTCTGCATTGTTATGTGAGTCATGCTTTGTGGATGCTGTTGACCTACTTGTTGACTCCCTTGCATATTTTGATTCGATATCTGTTGTGGCATTTCTAATGGTGGAGACTGAACAGTAATCGGCTGTGACACGGGCATTTGTTGTTGTACTACATTTATTGGTTGAGTTAGTGACTGTCCCGGAGAGGCCATAGGGAACTGTTTTTGAAGAGCTTGCTCCAATTGCTGAACTGTAGGAGCATTTCCTTGGAGATCTGACATATTAGGGCATTTATTTGATAGATCATTAGGCACTTCATCATGCTGACTATCATTTATCACCACACCACTATCGGGAGCTTGCAATGTATTGGTTTCAGTTACATCTTGATTGTTATTTAATGTGATGGGTGCATTTTGCTGGGATGTACTATGATCAAGATAGTCCATGCATATCCATCGACCTCTTCTAAACGGCTCGGTACTTTCAATTTTAACAACTTTGAAACGTTCATTTCTGACATGTTCTTGAATTTCTTTCATACCTTCTTGAGGTTTAGCATTTCCTATGAGATTAATAATGCTACCAGCACTTGCGTTAGTGACACTGACGTGCATATCATTCGCTTCTGTGTTATTACTATTTGGCACTGAACTTCCTATCTGATTGTTGGCGTTGTCCTGGCCGACTATCGCGAGTCCGTATTGAGAGCTGGTGGGTATAACAGGTGCGCAGCCTAGAGATGTGCTGGACGCGTTGTAGAACACGTCGTCTTTAGAAAATGTATCTTCCGAGAAACTTGGTGTTTCATTCTCTATATCAGTCACCCGTGATATGTCGTCGGTGTGAGATTCATCTAGATCATCAGCGGAGTCTTCGCCTGCATCTGTGCTCACTCGGGAGCCGAGCGTCACACTGGTGATCTGAAACGAAGATATTTTCCTTGGGTTATGGGCGGCTTGCAGACTTGTGGGGTGAGTCACTCCCTTCTCCGACTCGTTCAGCCGAAGAGATTCACTCGTTGTACGATGTATGACGTTGTTATACTTGTTTTTTTCACTAGTTTTATGTGACTTTTGAATCAGATTGTCAGCCATTATGCCGTCCGAACCGAATGACTATCTAAAGAAAATTTCACTGTCTATTGGCTTCAGAGACATTTGATTTACTTTACAATCACATCAATATATGTGGTATAAAATCATTGTACACTCACAATTTCACAAACACAGTAATTTAACTATGTAGGTCTTCAAAACTCATTAGTAAACACATACAGTTGCGAACATCTTTCAGACGGCAGCAACATGGCGGCCATTTATGCGCAATGCACTATGGTTGACAATTTGCAGTCGACTATAGACAAGATAGAGTAACTGACAAAAGCTTACTAAAAATAACACTAGATGGAGACAAAATAAAAATGTCTGCTAGAAGGCGCTTACTGGAAAATAAAATTTTCTTAGTTTTTTTAATAAACAACTTTAAAAAGTAGTTACATTAAATAGTCACTTTAAAAGAGTTACTTAAATTACTTTAAAAAATGCTACAAATCATCAATAATTTGATTACTACCTAGTGTGATTTGTTTCTAATCGTATAATTTAGACATTTTATTAATCGCGTACGGACCTTAAAGCAAAGGTATGTTCCACCTCAGGTGCAGCTTAAAGCATATTTAAGCACTCAAATATATTAAGTGTATAATCTATGATTAAGCAAAAATAAAATTACAAATCTTCTTAAGACTGCATAAGTGTACCTATTCGACACAAGATGTCGCGCAACTACAACAAATTAATTAAATTGTGTCTATGATGCTAAAAAAATGTAATAATAATAATAACTACCGAATATTTTGTTAATATATTTTGGCTTCAAGGAAATAACTATAAATCACAGTCATATTGTAATTATAATACAATATTTTTTCGATTTAATGTGTGGAGAAGTTTCTTTCGTTTTTGTTTTCAGGTTGAGTATTTAATAATGGATACTTGTTCTAATAAAAATGATAGTGAAACTATTTTTTTACAACGAGTAATCCATTTCAATTAGGACGCAATCGAAAGTCAAGTCCTTGCCATCGTAACAAATTCGTATCTAGAAATCGGTACCATACATATTGTGTGGTTATGAAGAATCGCGTTAGGTAAGCGTTTAGTCAATCCGAAGGTGTTTTTTTTTTATTGCCTAGATGTGTGGACGAGTTCACAGCCCACCTGGTGTTAAGTGGTTACTGGAACCCATAGACATCTACAACGTAAATGCGCCACACACCTTGAGATAGAAGTTCTAAGGTCTCAAGTATAGTTACATCGGCTGCCCCACCCTTCAAGCCGAAACGCATTACTGCTTCACGGCAGAAATAGGCGGGGCGGTGGTACCTACCCGTGCGGACGCTAGAGACGCTAGAGAAAATATTTTCTACCATATTACCTGTTTCATATGCGGTTGTTCCGCTTTTGTTATAATGTGAAAATCAGTCCCAATATTAACGTGGTTATAGCTTAAAAGATTACGGCCGGCGTACTCTTGTTTCTAGTAAAGCGATAATACTGGGGTTCAATTACCGCAGGCAGGTGCCAATTTCTTTTATACGTGCGTACCTAAAACGAGTTCACGAACGACTTATACGATGATGGTACGTCGTGTACTAATAATCAAACCTGCAAAAGCTATATGTAATTACTGTTGGTGAGCCAATAGGGATATATCTGCATCCCTACGTGCCCTCGTATAGGAAGCAATCTTTTGTTGCAGTATGAAGAGTAGCAGAGCCGCTGTGTCAACGTAATAGTTACCAGCTTTGAATCATATGGGACGTGAACTAACCTGCTTATATATTATATATATGTTTTATCTACTTATTTCTAGATTACTACATTGAAAGGAATCTGTCGCAAAACTATTTTTTTATTGTGGACGGGATCACGGCCCACCTGATGTTAATTGGTTACCGGAGCCCATAGACATCTACAACTTAAATGCCGCCACCTACCTTGAGATAAGAGTTCTAAGGTCAATCGAACATTTGGTACGTATTTCATTGGAACATTTGGTACCTGCCTGCGGGATTCGAACACCGGTGCATCGCAAGATACGAATGAACCGTCTTATCCTTTAGGCCACGGCGACTTCAGAATTACAAAAAACACTTTAATGAGTTTACATGTTACACTGTATCATATTTATACAGTATAGTGCAAACGTTAAGAAAATATGACTAAACTTACATTAACGCAGAGTTGTTGCGATTATCCGCACCTTCGAATAAAACTAAAGGCGCAGATCATGAAGCGCCCAGGCCGACCCCAAACTATTACCGGCAAGGTCTTTGGATGGTCAGCCGATTTACTCAACATCCCCACCAATCGCCGTGACACTTCTTAAACGAAGGTAATTTGCTATTATTTGTAAATTGGCTTACAGAGCGACGTCCGCCGCGAACCGTCCGCGCCACAGTCGCTCTAGAGCACGGGACCCCCCTGGCTCCTCGTGGATTCCGATCGCTCGATAGCTAGCTCTTTTCACTGAGAAATCGGACTTAAGTAAACAATCGTCACGTCGCACCACCGACGGTCGCAGCCAACGATCCCGGCCGCAGTCGATAAGATACAGCCCGAGTACTAACATACGCGTCATGAAAATGTGAATGTGAGTGCTTCGGATATGGCCAAGTCGATCGAAGACAAGAAAACTAGTGAAGATAATACCAACATGGACGGGTACAGCGACGAGGAGCTCGGCCGCATCGGGAGGTTCATGGTCTGGATGCGCATCAATCCGAACTTAATTATGTTAAAAGTGACTCTTTTTGTGATGTACGGAGCTACTGCTTCTCTTCTACCTTATTTAACGATTCACATGCAGAGTATAGGTTTGACTGTTCCTGAAATATCTTTTGTGTATCTAGCTTTACCGTTTACGACATTTCTTAGTCCTCCGATAACTGGTGAGTTCCGGTCTAGTATTGAAAAAAAACCTTAATGTTAATGGCAAAATTGAAATTAATTTGGTATCGATATTATTCTAGGATTTTTGGTGGATCGGTTTGGGGAGTATAAGCCTGTTGTGATAACGGCTCTTATTTTGAACGCCGCGTTCCATCATTCTTTACTTCTGATACCTCACCAAGAGACGCCTGGTGTTATGCCATCGGCATACGTAATGAGACACCCGATCACGAACAGTGTAGAGGTATTAATTTAAATTTGATTACTAATAAACGATAAACAAAAGTTAAACTGGCTTCGTACGTATGTATGTACCGTAGAATTTGAGCAAATCGACGTCATCCGGTTTTTGAGCGAATTAACTGGCAGTGTCTTGTGATCCACTGTATTTGAATTAGTTAAGGGAATTAAGCGAAATTTATGCACGCTGGACTTTACCCTTGATTGTTGTTATCGTCCATCCGTTTATTTTGATCCTTAATGGCTGTGACCTGAACTCAAACAATCATGTCTGCAGTTCGTTGATGGAAATAAATTACTTCTCGAACACCCCTCCCAAGACATCGTTATTTATATCTAGGGCTTAAACGTTTATTGCTAGCACGTATAACACAAGGTTATGTGCGCATGCACTCAACAATGTATTAACAATCAAATTGAAACACGCTTATAGAGAGTTTATAAGTAATTTTGATCGTAAATCTTAATGCTAATTTAAGATCTGGTGGAGCCCTTGTCCGAGCAGAGAGTGTCCCGATGAAGATGAAACCGTTGATTTTGTACTGGACCGTTGCGTAGATCACTGTCAATTGTTTAAGCCTCCAGAGAGTCCTTTCACGAAATCTTCGGGAGACGATGAAAACGATGACCTTGACTTTCATATCAGCCACAAGATCCAACCACCGAACTTATCCAACAGCAGGTAATGTGAGACGTGCAATCTTTCGTATGATTAAAAATACGAAAATAAAGTGGCGTTTAATCATAATGAATGTGTTAAATTACATTTTCTTTGTTACGCCTTTCAAAACAATGATAAGACAAAAATCTTATAATACTAAACAAACTTAAATCACAATAAGAGTAAGCCTTCCGAGCTCTTTATTTAAAATTTACATCGTAAAATCATTTTCCTTAGTATATCAACAAAATATTACTACTCTAAGAACTCGTAACTAAAACTAGCTACGACGTTGTATAGATAGATAAAAAGAATTTAAATCAATTGTCACCAAAAACATGATATCGTATAGTACTTTTTTTAAACAAATCCTATAACACTTGCGACAAAAAGAACATGTTGTATCAATAAATAGTTAAAAAAAAAACATATATTTATAAATAAATTTTAACAAAAACGAATCGTAGAAGTCTCAGTAGAAGTGTCCAGACTGATTTGTTAATGAAATCAACTAATTCAGGTTTTATTGGTTCTTGTCTCGTGGACAACGTCCGTGGAGTACGTCCATCCATATACGCTATAAAAAAAAATTGTCTTTTTTTGGTGTCCTTATCAAAGAATAAAATACTATCTTGCGGATGTAGAATGTTGAAACTTTTTACTAAATATAGTAATAAATAGCTACCTACCTACTGTAACAGTCCTTTGTAAACAGTCACTAAATATCAATACTATATCACTGTTTACAAACTATATCCTATCTCCTTACACTGTCCTTTATGAAGAGTAATCTAAAGTCAACCTTTCAACGGTTAGTGTTCTAGCTGGGATACTTTTACTTTAGTGTAAATCATATTTTTCGTTACAGCCTTTTGAATTTGACTGATAGCGATGAAGATTACAATGATGCTGCATTCTTCTTGATAGAAGTACACGATGATTTAGGTGAACCAAAAGAGCAGCTTGGGATCGAAATGGAAAGAGTGAGTATAAAATAATAATAGCCTTTATTCAAACGCAATAGGATATTTACAATAACAAATTTGGGTTAACGACTATGTTGAGTAGATGATATCGGCAATTTCGTCTGTTTGCCCAACATTGGCAAAGGCCTCCTCCATTTCCTTCCAACCTCCTCGGCTTAGAGCAGGGGTTCCCAAACTTATTTTGTTTACTGCCCACTTTGAGAATAAATTATTTTTCAGCGCCCCCATTTTATCACCTACTTTAAGGCCACTATAGCGAGAGCTCAATCGGTCTCTAAGAGTCCTCTTAGATAAAATTCCAAATCGCCTCCCAAGCTTCTACACAGTGTCTCCAATTTTTTTCTGGGTCTCTTACTGCCCCCTTTAGGCCTGCAGCGCCCACACAGCGGCTTAGAGCTTTCTTTGTCCCTAATTTTCCTGCTATCGTCTTTATTTCATCTTCCCATCTCCGAATCTGTCTGTTGGAAGAGTGAGTATATAATCAATGTTAAATAGACGTACACACATAATATTATTACCATCAATTTAACTGCATCGATTTCTTCTAGGACGAGGATGATCAAGTAACGGATTTTCGATCGAGATTCGGTGAGAAGCTTCTGATAACTCAAGGCGTGAATATAACTGCGCTCGACAAGGAAGACCTCAGATGTGGAGGTCTTGTCATGTTACACAACATGACGAAGCTTTCACAGCAAAGGCTGGAGATACTGTCTGCAGATTGCATGGTCCAAAAATGTGATTTTAGGTACAATTCTTTTATAACATTGTATTATTAATTTTATGTAAGTAAAAGTAAGCGACAGTAACCACTCACCATCAGGTGGGCCGTATGCTCGTCTGCCTACAAGGGCAATAAAAAAAAAAGTTAGTATTGTGATAATCAGCTTGGGATTTACTTTTACATTGCTTCGTAGGCAAAAACAATACGCGCAAAAATAATGTTTATAAAGCCATCTGTTTCTCTATAGGTGAGACTAGGGATAGGCCGGTTTTGCATCAAAATTTATTATGTTTTAAATAAATTGCAATATATAAGTGCCAATATGAAAAATTGTGGGTTAGGCCACTTTTGCACTGACGGTCTCATATGTATGTGTAATTACTAATGGTTGGGTATCTTGTAAAAACACTTGGGTAAGTACCACCCACGTACGTACCACGTATCCTGCCATTTCTGCAGTAATGGTCATCGATATTATTGTTTTTAAAGATGTATCAGCATCAGAAATATAATAAGTGATCTCTATAATATAAATAAAAACACACTGCTTTCTATACACTATATTAAGGGGCAATGTAATTATTTTTTTCCTACCTATTCTGATAGCCTTAAGAGCTTCTTCAGATTCTCATTTCAGCTTCGCCCTAACATGTAGGTGAGCTCACGGGGCTCAAACCAGAGTGTTGCTAACACTGGCCCTAGCAAGAGCAGTGCTTCGCAGAACCTTTTTTTTTTCTTTTTCTTAGATGGGTGGACGAGCTCACAGCCCACCTGGTGTTAAGTGGTTACTGAAGCCCATAGACATCTACAACGTAAATGCGCTACCCACCTTGAGATATCAGTTCTAAGGCCTCAGTATAGTTACAACGGCTACCCCACCCTTCAAACCGAAACGCATTACTGCTTCACGGCAGAAATAGGCAGGGTGGTGGTACCTACCCACCAGTAAAAATCTACCACCGGATCGGAAACGCGACCCACTGAGAAGATCCGGCGAGAAATACAGTGGGCTATGTTAATTTGCTTATAAAGTTACTACTACTAGAAATACTAAATCATGATATTTCAGGAGGGGAGGTCCAGAAATATGCCCACCAGATTACAAGGAAAGCGACGATAAAACCTTCTATATATATTTCTTTCTGCGCTTCATGGGTACTATCATGCTATCAGCTGGCGTTACGATAATGGATCCCATAGCTTTGACCATGATACAGAAATACGGCGGCGATTTCGGAAGGGAAAGATTGTTTTCGAGTATCGGAATGGCTATATTTTCACCTATCACCGGTATGCTTATAGATATGGGTAGCAAACAAGTCGGTGAGTGGTATCATCTCATAATCGTTATCTCTAACGTCAATAGTAACTGAATGTTTACATCGTTTTCTTGATTACAGGTTACACCGATTATTCTGCTGCGTTTTACACGTACGACGTTTTGTTGTTGATATCGGCAATCACGGTCGCCGTGATGCCATTAGGAGCTAAGCTGCCCGCCGACAACCTTCTAAGGGATTTGGTCAACATCATAAAAATGCCACACATCATAATATTTATATTTTTCCTGTTCGCCCTCGGAAACTTTTGGGGATTTATCGAGTCTTATCTGTTCATTTATTTAAAGGAATTAGGAGCACCTAATTTTTTGTTAGGTAAATATCGTTGATTTCGAAATATTTTATAGCTTTGGATATTTGAAGCGATAAGTATTATTTATGGTTACGTTACAAAACATGTCATTAGTTTTCTCTAGTTCAGCTCACAAGGTCCTAACGTTTGTTACCAGTACAAATATACTATAGTATTAATAATGGTATTAATTATCTAACTATAAACCCTATTCGTTTTGCTTGTATATGACCAAAAAAACATTCACATTCAGAAGACCAGTTTCAAGGTATTTCTATATTTTGAATGAATGTTGACGATATTTGTAAGCCTGCTGTTATAATGTATTGTGAACCAATCTCTACTTCTGTTTCTCTGTTTTAAGGATGTCATGACTCAAGTACTATACGATTGGCTCGAAATAACATATTAACAAAAGTCGTCGTGGCCTAAGGGATAAGACGTCCGGTGCATTCGTATCTAGCGATGCATCGGTGTTCGAATCCCGCAGACAAGTACCAATTTTTCTAATGAAATACGTACTTAACAAATATTCACGATTTACTTCTACGGTAAAGGAATAACATCGTGTAATAAAAATCAAACCCGCAAAATTATAATATGCGTAATTACTCGTAGTAGGACGTCTTGTGAGTCCGCACGGGTAGGTACCACCAACTTGCCTATTTCTGCCGAGGAGTAATGCGTTTCGGTTTTAAGGTTGGGGTAGCCGTTGTACTGTAACTCAGACCTTAGAACTCATGTCTCATGGTGGCGGCATTTACGTTGTAGATAACCACACAACACCAAGTGGGCCGTGAGCTCGTCCACCCATCAAAGCAACAAAAAAAAATTATAAAAAAAAATACTCAGCATTACAAATACTAAACACGTCACGTACGTTAAGCGTACAAACAATTGAACGGTACTTGTTGAATCCTTGCGATGGTCATCAACGTTATTATAATATCAAATGCATTTATCCAGGAATAACCGTGACCGTGGGCACATTGAGCAGCATTCCTTTTCTGTACGGGGCGGATGCGATCACCGCTCGCATTGGCCACGTCAATGTTATCATCGTTGCGTTCTTCTCCCACGCCGCCAGGCTCGTCGGCTATTCGTTTATCGAGTGAGTTACATGTACTGTTAAATTACTTACTATGTTCTTCTTCCTATTTATTATAAGCCGTGATTTTGTTTGTCATGAATTCTTATTGAAATCGTCAAATTGGACAGTAACATTTCTGATATCTATTAAGTACGTCTAAGTTGCCATATACATAAGTAGCTTCGTCAGCTATTCGTTTATCGAATGAGTTACTTAAACTGTTAAATAACTATGTTCTTCTTCCTATTTATTATAAACCGTGATTAACCGTGATTTTGTTTGTCATGAATTAAATTGGATGTCTTTCCTATTGAAATCATCGAATAGCACAGTACGATTTCCGATATCTATTACGTCTAAGTTGCCTCATACATATATAAGTTAAGTCGACAAATACTCGATATATTTTCGGAAGACAAAGACTTTGCTTTGCTCCTAGCGTTACTGATGTCCATGAGCGTCAGTACCTATTCGCCACAGGACGGGTCATAGCTTGTCTATCTACAGAGACAACCAAAAAGTTAGCTTTAAAATTATTATTTAATACAATTATACGTAAAAGAAACATAACCAATCGTTCTCAAGTTTCTTGCATATTGTAAATTGCTATAAAGTTTATAATCGTAGTTCACAACTCTAGCAATGACAAAGTTATTGTAGGCCCTTTAATTGTTTTTTTAAGAGAGTAAATTTTGTTTTGTCTAATATAATGAAACATTTTGGACTAAACGTTCCTTATTCAATGGCTCGAGGGTAGGATTTCCAAGTAAGTATCGCGCACATATTCGAGACATCAGCGAAGAAAGTAGATGAGAGTCACTATTCAGTACCAGTATATAAGTCGCTAACGTTTCGCCACAGAACTGAATTATAATAATGCAATATGAATTATGGCTGTACTAAGAATTCTATTTTTTTTTTCTATGTGCACGCCATTCCATACTTACTGTTATAAAAGGTGTGTTTGCTTGTTCTTCTTTCATGTCGAAACGAAACAACGCATTGCCATGGTTTTTTAAAGTGATTGTGTTAGGTCAGGTAAATCATATAGTCTACCCATTATTCAGATAAAATTTCTAACAATTTTCCTTGATCACGTGGGTAGTTTATCATAAAAATCATTGCAGTGGAATTAAAACTAAAATCGACGTAGCGAGATTTAATTAGAATCGATAAAGTCTACTAATAATTTTCGAATTCATGTATGACCAATACAAAATTTTACGCTCATTTTAGAAATGAGGTTTAGTAACAATTGTTTTGTTCAATACTGCTGCATTCCCACTGTGCATACCAAAATTCCTTACTTGCCTCAGGGACGAACTACACGCGTAATTAACATCATGCTGTAGGTATATCTCAGTAAGCTCATAATGCGTCTTGACACCAGTGCGTAAAAGGAAACAGCTATATAGCTTCCTGAAATAAGTAAATCTAAGGAAATGAATACGTACATTTTCGTCGCGTCCAGGAAGAGCCGTAGCTAATGGAAGTTCAGTTTCCGCAATTAGGACATTAAAAATTACCTTCTGTAATATCAGCCGAGAACGTTTTCTCGGTCTAGTCCATTTAAATGTAGGTACGCATCAGAACATCATACGCAAGATTAACGTATTTACGACTACTTGTAACACTGTCAAGTTTATGAACAAGATCATGTGTGGGATGCTAATTCTTGTGTTCTACTGTCGTTTCTATAGTCTATATATTATGCAGAGGGTCTATTAAATGTAGATAGTTTGTATTAGAATACTTTATTGATCTATGAACCGGAATAATTTAGCAAAGCATTTACACACAATTTCTTTGGTCAAAGGTCTATGATGAAGATCAAAATCAAATCGGATGCGGCTATGCCAGGGCCCAAATTTCGAGATAGGCAACAGTTTCTCTAAAAAGTTTCGTACCTATTTGTTTCCTAGCTATTCGCTAGTAGCTTAAGGGTCTATTCTAGCAACGCCATGGGTAGGTAGGTGAGCCTAGCAGTGTTTCGCAGAATCTACCACCAGATCGAAATCACTACGTACTTATCACGTACTAACAAACAATGAGGATGATTTCACGTTAGTAAAAAGTGAACCTGCAAAAATATATTATTATGTATATATGTATATAAATATGTTTGTCGCATAACCACTTAAAACCAGACGGGTCAGGCAAAATAAATAAAAAATACAATTTTTTTCTTCTTAGGAATTCATGGTGGTGTTTTCCATTCGAAGCGATGGAATCTCTCTCGGTGCATCTAATGTGGGTAGCAGCAGCCACTTACTGCGCTATGCTGGCTCCTAAAAGTCTACTGGCAACACTTATTGGTGTTTTGGGAATGGCGCATTTTAGTCTTGGTAACTTTTAAAATACACTATTGAAGGGAAACCGTCGCGTCGTGGCCTAGAGGATAAGACGTCCGGTTTACTCGTACTCGCGACACGAGCGATTCCGGTATTTCAAAACCCGCAGGCAGGTATTAATTTTTGTAATGAAATACGTATTTAGCACATGGTCACGAATTACTTAAGCGATGTATGATTAACATCGTGTAATAAAGAACAAACTCGAAAATTAATTTTCATAGTTAATGTGATGAGAAGGTTTCTTTTGTGAGCTCAAGGAGTAGGTACCACTACCCTGCCTATTTCTGTTACGAAACATTAATACGTTCCAATTTGAAGAATTGGGGACAATTATACTATACCGTTATACTATATAATTAAGGTTCAGATCTCATGTCGCAAGGTGGGTGATGGCATTTACAATGCTGTGTCTATGGGCTCTGGAAAAAACTTACTTCACTATTGGATATGCATATGCACCGCTAGCACTGTTTTCTTTGAATGAAAAAAAACAAAGACATTGGCTGAAACGAAAAAAATTAAAGAGAAAATATATTATTAATATAAAATTAATCTGATTATTTGATAATTATTAAAGAGCTTTCATCTCATTGTAAACATTGACGAATCTAAGCTGCGGTATTTATGATGTACATAGAGATTTCGGTTCAGATAACATCATTGACGTCATATCAAAACACAAGGTAGGAACAAAAAAAGTTGTTAAGTGCTTATTGATTGTTATCGTTTCCGCAAATTGTTTAGTTAATATTTCCTGAGCGAGACATGTAATGCTAAGAAGATATCACCCGCGTTTTCTCAAGAACGTGGAATACACGAATTACTTTGAGTTTCATTGCGTGCATTGCAAAAACTACCCATAATTAATATTTAATTGTATTTTTTTATGTTAGGAAATCAATAAATACTGTCTTCTTTTTTCTCGGGTTCCATCACAGAAATTGAAATATTCAGTTCATAGTTCCAATAGATCATAGTTGTGTTTTAAAATCACTAAAAATACTCAATAAACTAAAAATATTCCCTCCAGGGAGAGGTAGCGGTAGTTTTGGTGGCGGTTTACTCATTGCTCAGCTGGGTACTCGAGAAGCATTTCGCTACATGGGACTGATCGCTTTCCTTGGGGGAATATTATACGGACTATTGCATTACTTTTGGCTGAGGAATATCAGTATGACGGGAATCGATGATGCCTGTGAACAGGATACGGGTAAGTTTTGATTGTTTAAGAGATTATTACTTTTCTTTTTTGGGTTATTTGGGTTTTATTGGACTTGTAGACAGACGAGCTTATAGCTCGCCTGATGGTGAATGGTTATCGTCCCTCATGGATGTCAACCATACTAGGGGCACAGCCAAGCCTCTTCCTAACACTGAGTACTCTTCGTAAACATCGTTTCAAGAAAGAAATGTCATAGCGCTCAGGCAACAACGAGAAAGGGAATTCAGTCCAAAGCCGGATGGTACGGATCGTACGTGGCAGAAAATATCTCTGAATGTAAAAAAAATATTTATTAGTAAGTTTACAATGAAGTTTTATTATCGCACCACCGGTGTTTATGCCTATCACCTGCAACTGTTGCAACGGCTTATTGAGTATGCGCCGATTTAGGGCACCATTTTAATTACCAATTTAATCCGTTCAGAAATGAATTCGTCACCACGAATATAAGTTAATATAAGATAAGAGCTCTCAGGGGTAGTCAGGGACTCAACCACTTGCCATCAGGTAAGCCAGTTTATCTTCGAAGTATATGAACAAGTTTGTCATTTCTGTTACGCAGAAAGTGGTGAAGGTGACAAGATGAACAGTGAACCACTGAGAAAAGATGCTGAAACGATGGTATCTCTAGAGCGACTTCATATGTTCACACGACTGAATCCTTTGGGTTCTCTCCACTCATTGCCAAGAGGTTCTCGGTCAAGGGTGAGCGATCTTAATATGTTGGTCTAATTACAAAATTAAATTAAAAATGAATAACTTCGGCGTTTCTCAAACCGTTTTCGATTCACTTTGTATTAGAAACTTTGATAGTCCCTGTGGCATTGCGAAGTTCTTCATTTATTAGAATGTCAACCTGGCAACATTACTATATTGCAATTATTGAAATTGAAATTTTGAATTTAACGCATACTTCTACAAAACTTTTAACGTTAACGTTTATTGTTTTTTTAATTTTTTTATTTATTTATAACTTTATACACTAGACAGTATAAAGGCGGTCTTAATGCCAGAGGCATTCTCTGTTTTCATTACGTTAATTACGATTTTTCGAATAATTCACAGCTTTCGTGAATACGAAGGACTAAGATGTTATTAATACGTCGTAACTTCCTATTTTTACGTTTCTTTGACGCTAGATTAAACCGTAAAATTAGTTTTAATTATGTCTACAACTCGCTAACACTGAAGACAAAATGTAAAGTTAAAAATAATAAAACATTTCTCGAGTTAGGTATTGTTCTGAGGATTATAATGTAATGATGAATATATGGAATATATGACTATATAATGTGATTGGAATTTCAGTTCTCACAAGGGGACATCAATGAATGTAGAAGTCGCAGTGGCAGTAACAGTCAGCGACGAGGAAGCAATTACGAGGGTTCGGCTTCAAAGGGGGATATGCTTCAGTCTGCGTTAGAGATCAGTAACCATCATGGAAAAGGACACATATCTAATCCAGTTCTATCGATCTCCATTCGAAATCCAAACGTTTATAAGGTATTGAGAATTGCTTTTTTAAACCACTTTCTTTTGTTCAAATCATGAGTGATAATATTTGTTTATTGTTTAGACAGGCGTACAAGCTCACAGCCCACTAGGTGTTAGCTGGTTACCGGAGAACAACAATTTAGATGTCAGCACCCACTTTGTGTCATGACTTCTAAGTTTTAATTTTTACTAAAAATTGGAACTTGTTTCACATTTTTGGATGTTGTGCATCGAATTCAGTGTATTTTTACGAGTATTACTTTTCAATAGCCAGTAGCACTGTATTTAATTATAAGGCCGAAATCTCAATTTTAGTTCTTATTTTGTGACTCTGAGGGGTCGGATCGTGATACGGATTCCCTAGTCCGGTTCGTCTAATTAAAACGGAATCTCGCGAGAAATCCGTGCAGTTAAATTGTAAATTAAATAAATTCAATTTTAATCGTGAAATACCGTTATAATTATCAACTACATATTACATACATATTATGTAGTTATTCTTTATCCAGTGTATTATATTCCAGAAACTCTAGGTTAGCTCTCTTCGACCACATGTTCTCTTCTTGCTCCTTTTTTTTTATTGCTTAGATACCCATCTACGACGACGACCTCACAGCCCACCTGGTGTTAAGTGGTTACTGGAGTCCATAGACATTTACAACGTAAATCGCCACCCACCTTGAGATATAAGTTGTAAGGTCTCAGTATAGTTACAACGGCTCCCGCACCCTTCAAGCTGAAACGCATTACTGCTTCACGGCAGAGATAGGCGCGGTGGTGGTACCTACCCGTGCGAACTCACATGAGGTCCTACCACCAGTAATCATTACTCTATTATTACTTATCCTGTGAACCTATTCACATAATTACCTGTCCTGGTGAAATTGGAAAGGCTTCTAAGCCACCAGTAATCCCACATTCATAAAAAAGGCCCACATAATGATATCATCATTTGTAGAATCAATAAATATTTTAGACATTCCTTCATTTAATTCTTTTGTTTCCATCAACAATAAAACTTCGCATTTATTTCGCGTAACACATTATCTATCATTCCTCATAACGTGACCGAAGTATATTCCCGAAACAAGTCAATATTTCATCTTGGAAGTTGTAGATAAACAGTTTTTGAGATAATTAACGCATATGTTAACAACGCAAGACAAGACGTAACATGCGATCCCTCAACTATTTGTTCGTTATATCTCCAAACGTGACGTATTGATGTAAATTTATAATACTGATTTAAGGTGTCACTGAAATTTTTGTATTTATTCACAACTTTGTAACGTTTGATATTCGTCTTGTGATCTTATTGTTAACGCTTTCAATGATGTGACTGAACTCATTGAATTTTGCGGTGACATTATGAAGTTCTAAAGAAATTGCTTTCGGTTATGTCTGAGTTTTCTTCGATATTGTGAATTTAAATGTATAAGATTTGTAACTATTGATTTTTGAATAAAAATTTTCTGGTAACAAGAACTAAGTGGTCTCAAGGATACGATAATAGTTCACTTATCAATTGGATACATTTAGTTTATCAAGATGCCAACCATACTAATTACATACAATACCAAATACATTCATTAAATTATTTTTCCTATTTCTTAGATGGGCGGACGAGCCTGGTGGTAGAACACTTGGTGTAAAGTACAAAAGTCCATAGTCATCACAACGTAAATGTTGAAATATGGTGCAAATTTCAATTATATTGTACGATTAGACTATGTACATTTCATCAACTCAACTATTAAAGCAAAAAAATACGCTTATGTAACTATGTAAACGAGAAATATTCCATTGGAATCGTTTAAGTGCTTTCTAAGGTTTTTATAAATCTATGTAAATCTAAAGTGAGTTTAATGACTTAATTTTAATTAATCGTTTTGGTTAATTATTAACAGCAGAACCACAGTGCACCGAAGCTAGCAATGGCTGGTCTGGCGCAACGCAACAATATCTCCCAACCAATCCTATCTGAATTCGATTCGAGACGCCGAGATTCCATACCAGAAGAGGCAGACGAAGACAAACTCATGCCTCCAGCGAAAGCACCAACGAAGACTAAAAGCGACCATCTTCCCCCACCCCCCAGCTATGATGAGGCTATTAATGAGCACAGGAAAAGCTGGCATTCCGATGACAGCACACCAGCTTAGTTCTCACCTATATATACTAATATTTTAAAAGAAACATGTTTTTACAGTTATTCACAGAGCCGTATTTAATTTTTATTTAAATCATATTTACCTAGCAACAAAGCGCCGATGCATTTGCTATTTCTCTAATATAGCAACATGCCCAGGTCATCGCATAATGGGCGGATCAAGGAAAATAAAAAAAAAACACGAGATCTCTAAATAAACTGCACTTTACAAATTCACATTGAACTAAATTTTGACAATTACTCTTTTGCGCTCTTTATGATGCTATGTTCTCGCATGACTTGCACTTATTCGACTGTTTCAAAATATATTTTAACTTAAATAAACTGACATACGCTGATAATTGTACGTTAAGTGAATATACTAAGTCAAATCGTAATAATGATGTTTTATCTTTGTGGAACAAAAATGTGTTTGTTAGAATTTAGTGTACATAAGTAAATTTAGTTTCTCTTAACTTTAAAAGGTGGTAAATGAAAGTAAGCAACATTGTGAAGGCTTTAATTTATTTAAGTTGAGAATAAAATTATAATTGGTCTAATTAAAGAAATCGTTTTCATTTCGTGCTGAACTTTCTTGGTTTTTTATTTACGTAATAGGCAGACGAACCTACAGATCATCTGGTGTTACGTGGTGACTGTAGCCTATAGAGAACAGCGGTGGTAGGGTTATATTGTATACCCGCTCAGGTGGGTGCCGGCTTAGGGACCCCGGTAACCGTACTCGTCCAACTCGACAAAGATTTCGACATGTAACCTAACCCATGCATCAGCTCGCTGAGTTTCTCGGCGGATCTTCTCAGCGGGTCGCTTTTCCGACCGGTGGTAGATTCTGCGAAGCACTGCTCTCGCTAGGGTTAGTGTTAGCATTGTCGTCAAGCTTGAACCTCGTGAGCTCTTAGGTTACGCTGACGTAGCCTCTCAAGGCTCTCAGTTTAGGTAAGAAAAAAAAAAGGTCGAGATCATTAAAATTTATAAACAGACAAAAATTTACTTAAACGCTCAATAGATGGCAGTGAATAACCAGGTTATTCAATTTTAGAACAATATTCTCTCTATGATTTTGTTAGATTTGCTTAGCATATACGAGTGTACACTATTTAAACCACAACACTAAGTATTTAAACATTATTTGACAATTGGAACAATCGCTTACAACTATTTCTCTTATGTCCAAACGTATTGAAGCTACGACGTAATATTTCTAATCTGACAAATAGATGGCACTTAAATTAAAATTAACAAGGTAAGAAAAAATATTATGTCTTTATTCGTCGAAATTAGTGCAATCACTTTGATCAGTCTTCAGGAAGAATTTTCGGCTGATTCGATTCTTATCGATCGCGTCGTAAGCCGCATCCAATACTGATTTTGGTGGATTTTGTTGTCTCGTTAATATCCAGGAGTTAACTGAAATGGTATGTATAGCACAAAATTATAGCTAAACAAAAACAAAATACATACTAATATGTCCGTTTACAATCATAAATCACAATCACAAATTACTTTTTTCTCCTACCTACGCCGAAAGTTTGGTTATCGTCCCGCTCGCTATACAGGGAAGAAAGTGTAACTTTTCCTCCCTGGTTACAAGTGCGCATGCGCGTTAGTGTCTACGTCTGCTCTCACGCACCTAAAATTCTCCGCCATTGTTGTGTTCAGGTAATTTGCAATATTGTGTTTAGTGTAAAAGTGAAATAAACAAAAGGCAATAAAATTTAATAGTGAAGTATTAAACAAAGATGAGTTCATCGGACAGTTCTTGTTCAATTAGTAGTAGTTTATTTGAATATTAAAAAACAGTTAAATTGCTTTTTTTATGAGTACGGGGGGCTCCGCCCCCCTATCCCCGGCCGGGGCTTCGCCCCTGGACCCCGACTCGGTACTCCACGAACTTTCAGCCTGGTAGGAGAAAAAATAGTATGTGCACCGCGGGAGAAAAGTTGGACATTTCCAGCGTGTTTGCCATTTTACACGCGGGAGGAAATTTCCAACTTTTCTCCCTTGGTGCACAATGTACTATATTGTATTTTCATAGTTCATATTTTTGTTGCTACATGATGTATGATGAACTATACTACACTGGATGCGCAGAATGTCGCGTCCTTTTTGTGAATTAAAATTAATTTGTTACTTAGCCTTTTTTGGGGCTGAGCTTATTCTCACGTATTTTGAAGTCGTCGTGGCCTAAAGGATAAGACGTCCATTATATTCTTTTTGAGCGATGCACCGGTGTTCGAATCTCAGGCGGGTACCAATTTTTCTAATGAAATACGTACTCAACAAATGTTCACGATTGACTTCCACGGTGAAGAAATAACATCGTGTAATAAAAATCAAACCCGCAAATTTTAATATGAGTAATTACTGGTGGTAGGACCTCTTGTGAGTCCGCGTGGGTAGGTACCACCACCCCGCCTATTTCTGCCGTGAAGCAGTAATGCGTTTCGATTTGAAGGGTGGGGCAGCCGTTGTAACTATACTGAGATCTTAGAACTTATATCTCAAGGTGGGTAGCGCATTTACGTTGTAGATGTCTATGGGCTCCAGTAATCACTTAACAGCAGGTGGGCTGTGAGTTCGTCCATTCATCTAAACAATAAAAAAAAATACCTGTGTGAAATATTCCAAACTCATAGCAGCTCCAAACGACTGCGTAATTATCATAGTCGGTATCCACAACCCAATATGGGGCCGCTACATCGACCGGTAGGGTAGGGAACCGGACTGACAGCTTGGCTTCGTCAGAACGACCGACTTGCGTCGCTTCCCCTTTTATTTCCTTTTGGATACCTGAGCTGAAAACGTAAAATTCTTGTATGAGGATAAAGGAACTTTATTATAACCGTTTTGCCCTTTAAACTAGTACTAAGGATTATTAATTATAATTCCGTTTTTATTCCAGCACTCGGATATTAAACTGTGAATTCTGAGATTTGAGACTTCGAAACTCATGTCTGTGGAGAATGATGGTATTCCATTTTGATGCTGTGGTAATCACTAAGTCACACCACGAATTTATTCGGCCATCCATGGAATACGTACAAAGTATAAATAGATTAACTAAGACGTTTAAGCGAAGAAGCTTGCGAGCTTGAATTAAGAGACGTCAATTTCACATTCACTGATAGTTTTCGGTCAACAGTTTCCTTATATCCCATTTAGTATAATAGCTTGCATTGATTAGCTTCAAATATAATAATGAAAAAGGGATTTTATAACTTACAATATATCTATTTGTTTATTAAGAACCCGAATAGCTCCATCATCTCGTAGTTTGTAATCGGCCGTGACGCATTTCCCTCCGAATTCAAACAGAAAGAAATATTTCTCAGCTTCATACCATTTTCCCAAATACTGAAATTATTTAAACATAAAAGATTTAGTATAATTATAATACTCATCAGAATCGCAAGTGATACTCGTAGAGCCAATATTATTTATGTGGAAATTCATTCTAAAAACATGTTTGTTATCATTAAGACCGATAAAACGAACTAAAGATAAACTAAAGAGTGCTCTGAGGAATTGTTCGAGATGATACCAACGTCTCGTTTTTACCATCGCACCGCCCGCCACCGGAGTAGAGTTCATCCATACTACCTGGAGCCACTGCGGTCATCCACAGTGCGTTTCCAGAGATCTTTTTTGCCACGTACCATCCGGCTATGGAATGAGCTCCCCTCCACGGTGTTTCCCGAGCGCTATGACATNTCGGCGGAAGATTTTCCCTCCGTCGTTAAACATCCCAAACTGGTAACCCCGACCCCGGTGGCGGGTAGCCATCATACAACGCAAGATAATTGACAGATGCCTGAATCTCGCTTACGACATTTTCAAGATAAAGCGCATATATACAAGTTCCGAACAACAACATAAGGACCGTCGGTCTATCGAGCAAATATCACCCGCTCGGCGGAAGATTTTCCCTCCGTCGTTAAACATCCCAAACTGGTAACCCCGACCCCGGTGGCGGGTAGCCATCATACAACGCAAGATAATTGACAGATGCCTGAATCTCGCTTACGACATTTTCAAGATAAAGCGCATATATACAAGTTCCGAACAACAACATAAGGACCGTCGGTCTATCGAGCAAATATCACCCGCTCGGCGGAAGATTTTCCCTCCGTCGTTAAACATCCCAAACTGGTAACCCCGACCCCGGTGGCGGGTAGCCATCATACAACGCAAGATAATTGACAGATGCCTGAATCTCGCTTACGACATTTTCAAGATAAAGCGCATATATACAAGTTCCGAACAACAACATAAGGACCGTCGGTCTATCGAGCAAATATCACCCGCTCGGCGGAAGATTTTCCCTCCGTCGTTAAACATCCCAAACTGGTAACCCCGACCCCGGTGGCGGGTAGCCATCATACAACGCAAGATAATTGACAGATGCCTGAATCTCGCTTACGACATTTTCAAGATAAAGCGCATATATACAAGTTCCGAACAACAACATAAGGACCGTCGGTCTATCGAGCAAATATCACCCGCTCGGCGGAAGATTTTCCCTCCGTCGTTAAACATCCCAAACTGGTAACCCCGACCCCGGTGGCGGGTAGCCATCATACAACGCAAGATAATTGACAGATGCCTGAATCTCGCTTACGACATTTTCAAGATAAAGCGCATATATACAAGTTCCGAACAACAACATAAGGACCGTCGGTCTATCGAGCAAATATCACCCGCTCGGCGGAAGATTTTCCCTCCGTCGTTAAACATCCCAAACTGGTAACCCCGACCCCGGTGGCGGGTAGCCATCATACAACGCAAGATAATTGACAGATGCCTGAATCTCGCTTACGACATTTTCAAGATAAAGCGCATATATACAAGTTCCGAACAACAACATAAGGACCGTCGGTCTATCGAGCAAATATCACCCGCTCGGCGGAAGATTTTCCCTCCGTCGTTAAACATCCCAAACTGGTAACCCCGACCCCGGTGGCGGGTAGCCATCATACAACGCAAGATAATTGACAGATGCCTGAATCTCGCTTACGACATTTTCAAGATAAAGCGCATATATACAAGTTCCGAACAACAACATAAGGACCGTCGGTCTATCGAGCAAATATCACCCGCTCGGCGGAAGATTTTCCCTCCGTCGTTAAACATCCCAAACTGGTAACCCCGACCCCGGTGGCGGGTAGCCATCATACAACGCAAGATAATTGACAGATGCCTGAATCTCGCTTACGACATTTTCAAGATAAAGCGCATATATACAAGTTCCGAACAACAACATAAGGACCGTCGGTCTATCGAGCAAATATCACCCGCTCGGCGGAAGATTTTCCCTCCGTCGTTAAACATCCCAAACTGGTAACCCCGACCCCGGTGGCGGGTAGCCATCATACAACGCAAGATAATTGACAGATGCCTGAATCTCGCTTACGACATTTTCAAGATAAAGCGCATATATACAAGTTCCGAACAACAACATAAGGACCGTCGGTCTATCGAGCAAATATCACCCGCTCGGCGGAAGATTTTCCCTCCGTCGTTAAACATCCCAAACTGGTAACCCCGACCCCGGTGGCGGGTAGCCATCATACAACGCAAGATAATTGACAGATGCCTGAATCTCGCTTACGACATTTTCAAGATAAAGCGCATATATACAAGTTCCGAACAACAACATAAGGACCGTCGGTCTATCGAGCAAATATCACCCGCTCGGCGGAAGATTTTCCCTCCGTCGTTAAACATCCCAAACTGGTAACCCCGACCCCGGTGGCGGGTAGCCATCATACAACGCAAGATAATTGACAGATGCCTGAATCTCGCTTACGACATTTTCAAGATAAAGCGCATATATACAAGTTCCGAACAACAACATAAGGACCGTCGGTCTATCGAGCAAATATCACCCGCTCGGCGGAAGATTTTCCCTCCGTCGTTAAACATCCCAAACTGGTAACCCCGACCCCGGTGGCGGGTAGCCATCATACAACGCAAGATAATTGACAGATGCCTGAATCTCGCTTACGACATTTTCAAGATAAAGCGCATATATACAAGTTCCGAACAACAACATAAGGACCGTCGGTCTATCGAGCAAATATCACCCGCTCGGCGGAAGATTTTCCCTCCGTCGTTAAACATCCCAAACTGGTAACCCCGACCCCGGTGGCGGGTAGCCATCATACAACGCAAGATAATTGACAGATGCCTGAATCTCGCTTACGACATTTTCAAGATAAAGCGCATATATACAAGTTCCGAACAACAACATAAGGACCGTCGGTCTATCGAGCAAATATCACCCGCTCGGCGGAAGATTTTCCCTCCGTCGTTAAACATCCCAAACTGGTAACCCCGACCCCGGTGGCGGGTAGCCATCATACAACGCAAGATAATTGACAGATGCCTGAATCTCGCTTACGACATTTTCAAGATAAAGCGCATATATACAAGTTCCGAACAACAACATAAGGACCGTCGGTCTATCGAGCAAATATCACCCGCTCGGCGGAAGATTTTCCCTCCGTCGTTAAACATCCCAAACTGGTAACCCCGACCCCGGTGGCGGGTAGCCATCATACAACGCAAGATAATTGACAGATGCCTGAATCTCGCTTACGACATTTTCAAGATAAAGCGCATATATACAAGTTCCGAACAACAACATAAGGACCGTCGGTCTATCGAGCAAATATCACCCGCTCGGCGGAAGATTTTCCCTCCGTCGTTAAACATCCCAAACTGGTAACCCCGACCCCGGTGGCGGGTAGCCATCATACAACGCAAGATAATTGACAGATGCCTGAATCTCGCTTACGACATTTTCAAGATAAAGCGCATATATACAAGTTCCGAACAACAACATAAGGACCGTCGGTCTATCGAGCAAATATCACCCGCTCGGCGGAAGATTTTCCCTCCGTCGTTAAACATCCCAAACTGGTAACCCCGACCCCGGTGGCGGGTAGCCATCATACAACGCAAGATAATTGACAGATGCCTGAATCTCGCTTACGACATTTTCAAGATAAAGCGCATATATACAAGTTCCGAACAACAACATAAGGACCGTCGGTCTATCGAGCAAATATCACCCGCTCGGCGGAAGATTTTCCCTCCGTCGTTAAACATCCCAAACTGGTAACCCCGACCCCGGTGGCGGGTAGCCATCATACAACGCAAGATAATTGACAGATGCCTGAATCTCGCTTACGACATTTTCAAGATAAAGCGCATATATACAAGTTCCGAACAACAACATAAGGACCGTCGGTCTATCGAGCAAATATCACCCGCTCGGCGGAAGATTTTCCCTCCGTCGTTAAACATCCCAAACTGGTAACCCCGACCCCGGTGGCGGGTAGCCATCATACAACGCAAGATAATTGACAGATGCCTGAATCTCGCTTACGACATTTTCAAGATAAAGCGCATATATACAAGTTCCGAACAACAACATAAGGACCGTCGGTCTATCGAGCAAATATCACCCGCTCGGCGGAAGATTTTCCCTCCGTCGTTAAACATCCCAAACTGGTAACCCCGACCCCGGTGGCGGGTAGCCATCATACAACGCAAGATAATTGACAGATGCCTGAATCTCGCTTACGACATTTTCAAGATAAAGCGCATATATACAAGTTCCGAACAACAACATAAGGACCGTCGGTCTATCGAGCAAATATCACCCGCTCGGCGGAAGATTTTCCCTCCGTCGTTAAACATCCCAAACTGGTAACCCCGACCCCGGTGGCGGGTAGCCATCATACAACGCAAGATAATTGACAGATGCCTGAATCTCGCTTACGACATTTTCAAGATAAAGCGCATATATACAAGTTCCGAACAACAACATAAGGACCGTCGGTCTATCGAGCAAATATCACCCGCTCGGCGGAAGATTTTCCCTCCGTCGTTAAACATCCCAAACTGGTAACCCCGACCCCGGTGGCGGGTAGCCATCATACAACGCAAGATAATTGACAGATGCCTGAATCTCGCTTACGACATTTTCAAGATAAAGCGCATATATACAAGTTCCGAACAACAACATAAGGACCGTCGGTCTATCGAGCAAATATCACCCGCTCGGCGGAAGATTTTCCCTCCGTCGTTAAACATCCCAAACTGGTAACCCCGACCCCGGTGGCGGGTAGCCATCATACAACGCAAGATAATTGACAGATGCCTGAATCTCGCTTACGACATTTTCAAGATAAAGCGCATATATACAAGTTCCGAACAACAACATAAGGACCGTCGGTCTATCGAGCAAATATCACCCGCTCGGCGGAAGATTTTCCCTCCGTCGTTAAACATCCCAAACTGGTAACCCCGACCCCGGTGGCGGGTAGCCATCATACAACGCAAGATAATTGACA